ATCGTCAGTAACCACCAAACAACACCTTTTGAGCCACTCTTTTAGTCCACACCTTTCTCTGCACTACACCTATTCCTTATTCTCACCACGAATCTTAATTTCCATTACTGCATGAGAATGACCTCTTTTTTTTTTTCAACGTAGAAACCGTGTACTCTTCACCAAATTTCCAGTCATAGATAACGAAAGCATGCCAAAATATAAGTCAGACAAATATGTATTCAATCTTTCTCTTTAGTATAAACAAAATATCGACATTGATCGGTGTCTGTAACATTTTTATATTAACTAATTTATCAGCTGGATATTTGCAAGTTTCTAGTAATATCCTCAACCCAAAACTTATCCATCAGGAAGGAATACGAGCATCTGCGTACCAGTGTGCGATCTGGATTATTTCAACGCTATAAATATTCAAAGAAAGTAAAATATCTGATTATCGAACAATAATATATAGTAACATGTAGTGTACCTTCTGAAATGAAACTACCTTGATTTAAACGAACAGAAAACGGTGAATTTTGAGAGAAAATTAGTACAGGGTTTTGTTATGGAAAATTCCAAAACTCGGGGTTGCCTCTGGTGCAGGTAATCTTGATCGGATGCAAGCATGAGGTTTAAGCTTTTGTACACATGCAGAGGACCCTCCAACCCAACATAAGTTCAGTGAAACAGCATTGTATTTGTCGTTATTAGGTGTACTTGATTAGCACACACATCAGTGACGATAAGGCATGCCCATGTAACGTTAAACCTTCATTAATATATACCAAAAGCGCTAGCCTTGTCCTTGACGTGCATGGCATAAAAACTCCAACCAGTTGACACACATCATCGTCGTGTCCAAAACCCTCCGAATTTCATGGAAAATGTTGAAAACCTATAATACGTGTATGGTAGACATGGTCGGCAATGCAGGGTCAATGCTGTCTTAGAAGATGTCAAAACAAACTTACTCACCATGACGTCACTCTCGCCTAATAATTTAGTAATCTTACACTCGAATTTGGAGTAATGATAAAAAGAAGAAAATGTGAGATAAGATTAGTGATATGATACGTAAAGAAAAAGAAAAATAACTAAAATATAAATATGAAATGTTTAAGACCTTTTTCACTTGAATGGATTTGGAGGAGAATGATTGATGGGATTTGAGTAAGTAAAATTTTTTGTTGCTTATTTGAGTGGATTTGGAAGTAAAGTTTGTGAGAATTGTAGGATTTGATTGACATGACAGATTAAAAAAATTTACTTCCAAATTCACTTTCATTTATCTCCAAATTCACTCAAATAAACAACAAAAAAATTTATCTTTAAATCCTCTCAATCACTCTTTCCCAAATCCATTGAAGTGAACAAAGCCTAAGTCTTATAGGTAAAGTAGAAAATCTACTTCTACTTTTATATTGGTTGTGAAACCGATATAGAAAGTTTGCTAAAAAATAAATGTTTTATAAGTATAACTTATATTTTTTATATTGGTATAAGAACTAACCGATAAGATTCGCATGTTGTCATATAAAAAAATTCCCATTTCATACTAATTAGAATATTAACTAATATAAAGAACTTCAATTTATATACCATGAAAAAGTCCTTTTTAACGAGAGGTTTGTACGTGCCACCTATCATGTACATATATGGATAAAATATATTAAAGAACCATTAAAATAATCCAAATAATATAATTATTTGATAATGACTACATTTCCTAACATAAGCAAGTAATGACTATACACATAATATTTACATAAAAACTCATAAAAGTATCTAACACCATCTTCTATAAACTCTTAAAAAGAATGAAACACATTAATCATAAACTTCCTTTAAAACTTATTGCTCAATAAAAACGTGTTACTAAAAATCTACACAGTAAACAATTTGAATTGACTTATACTGGTAAATATTTAAGACATTAGTCATAAATTGTACATATTATCAAATCTTATGAGGCAACAACATTTGAGAATATGATTTTCTACATGTGTCTCATAATAACCGCACTCAAAACTCCACGGTTGACACAAACATTTCAAATTAAATTCATAAAATATCACATAAACTTTATAATTGCATTTCAATAGTTTGTAAGATTAACTAGTTCTTCCAGCTCTCAAGACCATCTGATGGCCATCTGATGCTCACCCTAACCTCGTTCTTCTAGCTCTCAAGACCTCACTGCAGTAAGTACACGGGAGCTTTGACTACTCATTTGGCTCTAATATCTATAAAAACTTCATTGGGCCAGCTGATATGTTAAAGGAGAATGTGATGCCCTCCTTTGACATGAAAGGAATATGGGAAGCTATGGAATGCTTTGTCTTCACTCGCACACTTTCTGGAAAAATTTCACAGAAGGTCATCCATCCCTAAATTACTCCAGGCTAAGCACACTTAACCATGGAGTTTTTATGGGTTAGGCTACCGAAAAGCAAATGCATTTTGGTGATATAACTAGCCAAATCAATCCCTTTAAGCTATCCTTCAATTGTATAGTCTCATACCTATACAGTCTCCTGATCTCTCTCATTCCGATGTATGTTCGATTCATTCATGTGTCCCTTCCACTGGAAGCCTGCCAGGAGCCGCTCCTTGTTAGTGCCCTTTGCACTTCGTGCCTCTTGCACTTCCTACCTCTTGCACCGTCAATCACTCCCCGCCCTCGTCAATGCCCAGGTGTCACACTTTTTCTCTCTCTGACCTATCAATTTCTCTCTCTCTACACAGACACAACACAACACACAACAAAAGAAGAAACATGGAAACTCCACGCATCCATCCCACCATCAAAACCCCTTCTTACCCCTTCATCTCTTCTCTCTTTCTTGTCCCTCTATTTTCCTATTTTTTAAACAACATACTAATCTTGAGAAAATAAATATAAAACAATTAAATTTATAAAATAATTTTTTATCAAGCAGGTAGCGTGCAAAATTGATTTCTCTTTAAATAGAGAAATTTAAGGGTAAACCTTTCTCTCTTTTGATTATTTTATCTTCCAAATCAGAAGATATGGAAAATATGGACAAAGGCTGGGACTTACAGCTAAACCTACACCACTAACCAAATACCATCAAAGAATGATGGAAAGAACAAGGAGGCATGTTATATATCAACACTACTAAAAACAAGTTTCTAATTACTAACCAAGAAGTTAAATCAAAACTATAAAGAATATCCTTCTTTGCACCTTCGAGAAGAAGATCCAATCTGAGCAAACAGAAAACACTTTTTTGCGAACCAACCGAATGTAGTAAAATGATTCTAATACCCTTGTCTAGCCTCTGTATAATCCAAATCTTGTCACAATCGGAATCAAAACTGCATAAAATTGAAAACTCACCTCATGGAAGGACAAGAATTGAACTTGGTCAATGTTGTTCATAAATGTCGAGGTAGATCTTGGGCACTTTTTAGCCTAGAGGTGTAGGAAGCTTAACTCCGATCGGAGATTCCGAGGAAGAGGCAGCGGAGGCAGAAGCAGTGCTTTCAGTTCGCTGGTCTTCGCCTTCTCCTAACCTAACTCTCCTTCTCTCTATAGCCTAAACCACAAAGCATAAAGAAAACATTTAGCAAAAAGATTCAAACAAAGAAGACGCAGTGGTGTTCGGGGTTACCAAGCTGGTAGCAGAGAACGTGAAAAAACGTGCCCCTTTGCGCGTCGTGCAGAGGGAGGATTGTTCTCGGAGCCGAGAAAAGCACGAGCGCGGCCCCGGGGCAGAGTTCTTGCAGGAGTTCGGTGCGGTCGTGGGTCGTTATAGATGAGGAATGCACGATTTAGAGAGGAAGAGAGGAACGAGAGTGAGAGGAAACGTGAAATGGGAGACAGCGAGAGGAAACGTGAAAATGGGAGAGGAAACGTGAAAATGTGAGATATTATGACTGATTTCTAAGACTCAATCATAATACATCAAAAAGTTTCCACACATTATGACAGGTGTCCATATGTACGTAATAATAAGTTTTGAACTTATTTACAATTTTGCCACCGCGTTTCATATTATGACTGATGTACAAAATTACGTAATAATATGTTTTAAACTTATTTACAAGTTTGCCACCGCATTTCATATTATGACTGATGTACAAAACTACGTCATAATATGTCTTACTTTTATTACGATTCTACCACCGGTCAATCTATTGTGATGAATAATTTTTATCTGTCATAATAGATCTGACATAAAAGCATATTTTTCCACTAGTGACTACTCACAATTACTACAACTTTTTTTTAAATATATGTATTCCTTGCAACTTCAAAAAAGTTTTAACCATTATGTGAAAGTTAATCGTACATTGAAATTTATTTCTAAACTTAATAAAATTAAATTATGTAACACAACAAATAAATAATTAAAAAACTTACGTTATTAATGTAATTTTAATTGTTAAAGTGTTAAGTTTTTCGTGAACACAATAAAACCATGAGAAAAGTTGAGGAAGAATATATACATTATAATATTTATAGTTGTTACCGCACAACTTTTATACCATTGGATGAATTATAACAAGTAATTGATGATTTTGTAAACACTTTTCTCTTCATTAAACCATTTTTGACAAAACTTTATAAACCACTTGATTAAATATTATTATTTTAATTAAACATGTACTTATGAATAAGTGGTGGTTTGAGCATCCAATAACATTTTGATTCCAGAATGTCTTGTTACCATTAACTTTTCTCATTATTGACTTCTAATTACTATCTTCATTCTAAAAGAAAAATTTCCAAAATTAATCAAGAAACATTTAATGAATATAAATTAAAAAAAACATTTTTAACTATATTGTCTCTCTTTAAAAAGAAGATAGGGAGTTATTATAACATAAAAAAATTTCTAACACCATAATCAACATTTTCTTTCTGTACACAAGAAGACCCTGGACCAACTGATATTAGTGAGAAAAGAGAAGGGTAGTTTAGTAGTTTTGTTCGCGTCTCTTAAACAAGCCGTTGTGTTATAAAAAGACTGAATACTCCACATATTATTGTTATGCCAGTTATTTGTACAAACTCATCCCGCGAATTTCATCTCACGCGGTCTCTTTTGATTCTCCTCTCTTCGTTCGTTACTCCTTCTTCACAGAAAAAGAAAATCGTAGGGTAAGATACAATTCTTCTCATGTTTATCATCTCGTATACTTTAATTATTTAATTTATCGTGTCAAACAATCTTCTCCTACAAGATGAACCGTCTTTGATCTCTCAATTTCGCAAATTTCTTTACTCTAAATCAGATTCCTCAACATGAACAGATCATAGAGAATGTACAATATATGGATAAATAAGTATGTTCGTTCACATGACTTCGTATTTTTGGTATAATTGTAAGTGTTTATTTAATTAATTTTATTTCTCTATTTAATCGACAGATATATACAGTGGCGGTGAGAATGGAAAATGCAATTTCATCCAGCTTGGCGAGAACGAAATCGGAGGATATGGAGGAGACGGGGGCAACGACAAGTATGAAATCGCCCCCGTCAGCGGAGGGTGGCGGAGTGCTGTCGAGGAAATCGAGCAAGAGGATGACAGCGGCCTCGCCGAGTGGGGGCGGAGGAAGAAGCACACACATAAGGAGGGCGAGGAGCGCTCAGTTGAAGGTGGATGTGGATGAGGTTGGCAGCGGCGTGGCTCTGAGTCGAGCTTCTAGCGCTAGCTTGGGCCTCTCGTTCTCCTTCACTGGCTTCACTCTCCCTCCCGATGAAATCGCCGATTCAAAACCTTTCAGCGACGAAGATATCCGTAAGTAAACTCTCAAACTCGTAAGCGTTGATTTATCATTCTATTTTTAGTTTGATCAACAATTCACACTTATCTTACAATATAATCTACTGATTAATAATTAGGAATATCCATTTTTGTGAATTTAAATACTTCTCTCCTTTCTTTAAAATAAAATGCCTTTTAAATTTGGATTATATAACTTTTTTGTTATTCATTATCACATTCGTATGTAACCTTCTACAATGTTCACGAGTGTGATAAACTACGTTTTCGTCTGAGTTTAATTTCCGACCCTTTAACAACGAACGGATAGAAATGCATAAAAAAACTTGTCTTCTTTGTCGTTACCTTAACCACAGAAATATTTTGGTATTCTCTTTATTGATATGTAAAATATAATGATATAATACGAATGGGATCCCAGCAGTTCATATCAAACATCAGGGCGTGAACTGTGGATGTTTCCTTTTATACTATCGAGTACAATGCGTTAAAAAAAATTGAAGTAAAAAGATTTTTAACACCCATACGAAGCGTATTAATTAACGGGAGATGGTATTGTGATACTTCTCAGAAACATACTCCATTTGATAATTCAATATATCAATATTTTAATTAGTTTGCTTTTATATTTTAAATATATTATTATTATTATTTATTATTCTTATTATTATTATTAATATGGGTTGTAAAGTAAATATATTTTATTTTATACCGTGTTAAAACATAACTTTTCTTAATTAAATGAATAGCCATAAAAGTTAAAAACGGTCACAGGAAAGTACAGCCAGCGAGCCGAACTTGTGATTCACATAATTTGGCGGGCATTGCCACATGGTTACTACGAGGAAGCAGTGTGAAGCTAGTCGTTTCCAATAATTCCCACTTTGTTTGAATAATAGGTAAAACCAGAAAATAAATAAAAAGAGAGTAAAAATAAAAATAAAATGATTGATATTTTATTTAGTTGGATGAATGATAAATAAAGTACATAAATAGATGTTATATGAAAAACAAGTGCTATATATATTTTTTTATCCCTTCTAAATCATAAATAAATATAGTGTAAAAAAACGTCTTCTTTTTGCCTCATAGTTTCGCATTTCAACCTACACTTCCGCACAAACAAAGTCAAGAACATGTTTTTATAACATTTTGACTAACATAGCAAAAATGTAGTGAAAGATGCAATAACTGGGTTTAAAACATCGTTATTTGTATTTTCATACATTAGTTCTCCACATTTATTTATAGAAAAATAAAAAATAGTACACATTTTAGTGTATGCACTGTATATTATATCTTTTATAAAACGAAATCAATGTAAGAGAATAATCTACAGATAATAATATATTGCTAAACGGTTTAACATCAATAGAGCATTTTTTTTTCCTTAACCTATTTAATGTTTTTTTTTTCCTTAACCTATTTAATGTTTTTTTTTTTGGTGTCTGTGTCAGGTGTCAATATAATTATGCTTCCTAGTAAAACATTAAAATATCATTGTGGTAGTGTTATGTCTTACTCGCGTAAGTTAAGCGAACCTCTCTTCTCTTGACTTGTGGTAGTGTTATGTCTTACTCGACTACCTATTTTCAGTTACGTGGACTTGTCTTAGTCGGGTCCAATCCAAGCCAACCAAAATCTCTTCTCAGTAGCGGTCCAATTAAAGCAAGTTGACCCAGTTATTCCCCAAACCGGAAATAGTGGTATATGTCCTATAGTTTGGTTGGGTTTTTTTTCTTGGCAGGCAGTGCGGTTGTCTTTATGAGCAATTGGCACCTACCTAATAATGGTCCCCCTGTCTACACACCTACATAGTAATGGCGTTCTAATTAATTATGATAATGATCATTTCATGCATTCTCCCAGTACGTGTATTTATCCATAGCGTGTGATTCATTATGGTACTCTTCGGTTTGCTTGAACATGACTAGTGCTCAAATTTAAATTCTTGAATATGTTCAAAATGGGTAACATTCGTTTAAGAAGCATTATTGATATTTTACACTCTTGCATCGACCCACTGTTTTTTAATCTGCTAATTTCACATTGACTTGTTTTTTCTTCGAGAACTTTCACGTTTAAAACATTATTCTTTATATTTTAACAAAATGTTAACCTCGATTAAATATCCTTTTCAAATTATTTGCACTCCAGTGAGGTTAGACTGATTCTAGCAGGCAGATATTTATATTTGATTATTTATTCTGTTTCTCTTTGTACTAAAGTAAAACAGAATTAGTGTTGATTAGTTTAAACTAAAGACATAATTATGATGTGTATCAAATTGTTTAAATTATATAATCGAACATTCCAGTCAAACTCTGATGTTTTGCCACAAACTGAAACATAATTAGATTCACCATATTTTTATTTTTCCAAACTTGTTGACTATCTTTATAACTTGTTGACTAGCTAGGTTGCGCCGGACCCATTCTTCCTTTTTTGTGGGAGAGTACCCTGTCTCATTCTTGGGCCCCTGCATTAAATTTTGGCTTGACATTTTTTTCACGACTGCTTGAGTTGGTTTGACTTACTTTGTCAGGACTAATTAACTTGTCCTGTATGCCTTAATTTTTAGGAATCATCATCATCATGTATTACAAATAATATGATCCCTCTAAAACTTCTTCGGGCATCCATGCGTACGTTCTTAAAAACAAACTTTAGTATTATTTTTGTCCTCGCAAGCAAATCCTACCGTGGGTTTGTTCGAGCTATACATCATAAAAATGCATTTTTCTAACATATTGCACCCAACTGCTCTAAGTGAAGCTATCTACTAATTAACTGTTTGGTGCTCTTGCATGAAGGACATTCTATTTCCCTCGTTGTGATTTGTATAAGAAAGTGTTACTATGTATATTGCAGCGGAGGATATTGAAGCCGGAACTCATAAGCCTAAGTTCCAGACAGAACATACTCTGCCAATATATCTGAAGGTAATATACATTTTATGTATAAAAAATTAGAATGTTTCTCTTCAATATTCCTTGCCTGCACCTACCACTGGCGGTACTACTGTTCAAACCTTCAATAGAGCATGAGTTTGATTTAGTGCTGTATATGTATTTGGGCAGGCAACGGTGAAGCTTCATTTAGCGATCAACGCTACCAATAGAACATGTTACATGGCTATCAATATAGCATGGTCAGGTTCAGTCTTGTACAAAGTTTCATTTCAAGTGATGCCAATGTACAAGACTACCCCTTCTTTCTAGTTAACTAGATAAATGATTAGTAATACAGCAGATACAAGTACAGCATATACTAGCTAACTTGTTACTAAACTTTTCCTGAATTTCTTTTTGATGCCTCCTACAGGGCATCAACAAATTAGTTTTATTTCACATACGCTTGAAAGATCTAGGTTCAAGATTGGAACCTTTCTGGCTTCGAGGCTTTAGCTATATGTGAGGCTTAATAACATGGTTTGGCTGAGAAAGAAGGGTATGAGTATGAATAGATAGACAAACTTTTTGATGAAAAAAATGCCTTCGTGCATTGAGCTTATTTTGTGCTTTATTTAATGTTTTACTGTGTTTGTGATGCATCCAATTAAATTCGATAAGTTCTTATTTTGGAATCTGCAGTTCACCGACGTGACCTACAAGGTAGTGATTAAAGGCATAACTAGAACTAAGGAAAAGGATATCTTGAAGGGGATCACTGGTTCTGTTAATCCTGGGGAAGTTTTGGCATTAATGGGTCCTTCAGGAAGTGGAAAGACATCTTTGTTAAATCTGCTAGGAGGAAGGTTAATTCAGTCCACAATTGGTGGCTCTATCACTTACAATGACCAACCTTATTCCAAGTTTCTAAAGAGCAGGTAAAAACCATACTAATTACTATCAGTATTGAAACTGGGAAGTTACTTAAAACACAGATTTAATTCTTAACAAGACAAATATAAATGTAGGTAAAATTCCGAGCTTTTTACTATCAAAGTTGTTTTTATGATAATTTTTTTTTATAAGATTGAAGCTGTGGTCGTGATAGCCCCACACAATTTTGAAAGATTAGAAAGTCAGAATTTATTTTTTCATCTCTGACGGTATGTAAAAATGTTATCTTAGTTGATACCATAGTTACACTAAGTATGCATTTTGCAGGATTGGATTCGTGACACAGGACGATGTTCTGTTTCCTCACCTTACTGTTAGAGAAACATTGACGTATGCTGCTCGCTTAAGATTGCCAAATATACTAACGAAAGAGCAAAAGGAAAAACGAGCTTTGGATGTCATCGAAGAGCTGGGATTAGAGAGGTAAAAGTCATAATCGTCGAAAGAGCATAAGCATGGTGAAAATATAGCCTTGTGAAAAATTTAATATGGACTATGAGCCCTTGTAAGTGATAAATATTTTATATTAATTGTAAAAGTCAATCAGTATAATTTAGGTGTATGAAAACAGGTGCCAAGATACTATGATAGGAGGTTCCTATGTTCGAGGAGTATCTGGTGGAGAGAGGAAGAGGGTTTGTATTGGCAGTGAGATCATAATCAACCCTTCTCTTCTATTTCTTGACGAACCAACTTCTGGTTAGGATTCTACGACAGCTTTAAGGATAGTTCAATTGCTACATGACATAGCAGAGGTGTTTGTTCTCATTCATCCCTTCAAGTTTAAAAACATTATATCAAATGAAAATGACTTAGATAACTCAGAAAGAATTAAACTTTCTAAGTTTTACATATTTAGGTCTTAAGCTTGGTAGTATTATGGAGTCTAATTGACCATCTTGATGATAGCACCCTTTACAAACTAAATTCTTGTCGCCATACCGACGCTGACGCTACTTGTAAGTGGCACTGTTGGTCATTAAGCTCATGGCACGAGATGTCTAGAATGTGGTTTTGTCCATTTTGAATTTACTACACACAAGAATATTTACTTGGATTCACGCTTTGGTAAGAACTGACAGGGCCGCCCTGAGCTTGGTTACGATGTGCCATGGCCTAGGGTCTCCAATTGGAGGGGGCCACAAATGAATTTGCTTTAGTATTTCAAGAAAAAAAAAATGCTTGTTTTCTTACTTTAATCCTGTAATTTAATTATCTAATTATAAATTCTAAATTTTTATCTGATTTTTTCAAAGCAATACAATATCTTTCACTGTTTTATAGTTTAAGGAATAAAAAACTTTTTAGATTAAAAGATCCTTATATGTTCTATTTCCGAGTCTGTAAAATGTTAGGGCAAAACTGGTTAGATATTTTCCTCATCACTCAAATTTTTATCACGGCTAAACTTTGTCTTTGTTCCAGGCAGGAAAAACCGTAGTGATAACAATCCATCAACCATCTAGCAGACTCTTCCATAAATTTGATAAATTGATCCTTCTAGGAAAAGGGAGTTTGCTTTACTTTGGAAAAGCATCTGAAGCAATGGACTATTTTCAGTTTATAGGGTGTGCACCCCTTATTACCATGAACCCAGCTGAGTTTTTATTAGACCTTGCAAATGGAAACGTGAATGATATTTCTGTACCATCAGAGTTAAAGGATAGAGTGCAGGTAGGAAATGCTGAAGTTGAAACATGCAATGACAAACCATCTGCTTCAGTTGTACAAGAGGTATTGTTAATTTTGATTTCATTTAATTTGGAAAAAGACTTGTGAGCAAAATTTTCACATCTAATTTCATTTGAAATTTAAAAGTATCTGGAAGAGGCATATGATTCTCGAGTGGCAGAAATAGAGAAGACAAAGTTAATGGTTCCTGTCCCTCTCGATGAAGAACTGAAGTCTAAAATCTATTCTTGTAAAAGACAGTGGGGGGCAAGTTGGTTTGAGCAATTTTCTATACTGTTTTCAAGAGGATTCAAAGAGAGGAAGCATGACTATTTTAGCTGGTTGAGAATTACCCAAGTTCTTTCCACTGCAGTCATCTTAGGATTACTTTGGTGGCAATCAGATGCTAACAACCCAAAAGGTTTGCAAGATCAGGTAAACTATTTCCGTCAAAAACCTAAATCCCTACTTTTGGATCATAAAGAAGAGCGAAAGGAGTAAAGTCCATAATCAGACTCTAACATCAAACATTAGCATATTCGAAGCTAATATTTTCGTTCTTGACTGCAGGCAGGACTTCTCTTCTTTATTGCTGTGTTTTGGGGATTTTTTCCTGTCTTTACTGCCATATTCACATTTCCTCAAGAGAGGGCCATGCTGACTAAGGAACGAACAACGGATATGTACAGACTAAGTGCATATTTTGTGGCTAGAACTACAAGTGACCTTCTACTGGACCTGGTGTTACCAGTCTTTTTCCTCCTTGTTGTTTATTTCATGGCCAGTTTGAGACTCAGTGCAGGGCGTTTTTTTCTTAGTATTCTTACGGTTTTTCTCTGCATCATAGCAGCTCAGGTATGCATTGTGTTTTATAATCCAACTACTCAGAGTAACACAAACCAAGGTGACATAGTTCTAATGAACTGTATGTGAAACAGGGACTTGGGCTTGCAATCGGGGCTACACTAATGGATTTGAAAAGGGCAACAACTTTGGCTTCAGTAACCGTGATGACTTTCATGCTGGCTGGAGGATTTTTTGTGCAGGTAAATTTAATTTTAAAAAATCAATAAACACAAAAATCCTTATTTCCTGATAACATATTCTCATTTAATTATTGAACTGTAAAAACATGTCATCATTTAATACGAGAACTTGATGACAACGAACACGAGAAACTTCATCTAAATTTTCCTAATGTTAAATACTTAAATGCAACTGACTTTTCTAAATTTGACAGAAAGTCCCCATATTCATATCTTGGATTCGCTACCTCTCCTTCAACTACCATACGTATAAACTTCTGCTTAAGGTTCAATATGAACACATTACACGGACCATAAATGGAATCACACTTGACAGTGGATTCACAGAGGTTGCTGCTCTGCTAGCTATGGTTTTTGGTTACCGTCTTTTGGCATATCTCTCCTTGCGGCGGATGAAACTTCAAGCTGGAAATTAAGACTATCCATTAAGGCACATGTAGCAGGTCTGAGTTGGAAATACACATGCACTGCCATGTGAGGAGCACTTTGTCTAATCTTGTGTATTACTTCATTTAGCATGTTAAGCATGCATATGTTATCAGAGGCACATAAAAATGAGGAGAGTTCAGACAAAAAATGCTTTTTGAAATTATTTAACTCGTAGTGTGTACAGCTTTTCTTATTCGATCTATTTCATTAACTCAAGCTCGAAACTCTGTTAGTTAATAATTAAAAGGTGATTGTGAGACTTTTTTTTTTATAAGTGTAAGAATTTGAGTTGAGTATGCTACCTAGTATACCTATTAAGTTTCCAGAATAAATATCTATCCACTAAATCTAGTTTTATCTGTGTTGCAATTAAAATTTAGTATGGGTTCACCACATCAATAGTAGTGATTTCAAGACCAAATAAGAGCAGTGTATTTCTTAAGATGTGTACCCAATTCTTGTACTGTAGCCTAATTTTATCAAAATCAATTAAATTCAAAGTGTAAATTCTAAGAAGATCTTAGAATTTAATATAAATCCGTTACTGTCTAAGGTTTCGTGCAGAGCAACGGAAATAGAAATTTTTTAGGTTAAATATGTTTTATACTTTTAATATAACTGATTCTATTCAATTTTATACTTTTAATTTTCTTAATGTTAATTTAGTTCTAATAGTTAAGATGATTACATCTCAACATTTCTAATTTAAGAATAACATACTAATGGAATTAACATATTTATTAGATATTAACATATTTATTAGATACTCAGATTAAAAACACTTTGAAATTTCTTTCTGCAAATAATAGTTTTCGTATGGACTAATTTTGGAGAAAGTAAAAACTTATTTAACCCCATCGAATTTTAGTTAAGACTAGTGTATATTTTCCCCTCACATCTAGTCTATATTTTCCCCACATTTTCTAAATTATATTTACTAAATTTTAGTTACTACGCAATAAGCTTTTACCCTTTATTTTTTTTCTAAAATATAAAATTAATATTAGTCTTATATTTTTAAGAAAATCGAATATAGATTTGATAAACTCTAAAGGGTGTGTTTGGATGAGATGATAGATTTGGGAGAGTGAAAATAATCGATGTTGAATGATAATCATGAATATCTTTTAAGTCAAAATATTTGTTATATCTTCGTGTAGTTATAGTTTAAGATTCCTGGTTAAAGAGAATGCTTATTTGCAATAGTATATTTCAGTTCACGTGTAGTGCTTGTCTTTTTATAAATGGAGATAGAATGACTCCTTAGAATTCCACATATGATCCTGTTGTGAATATACCAATCATGGTTAAGATATTTACTTTTCTATTACTTTGTTAAATGCAGCATGAAATATATAAAATAAAATTTAGTTTTCGCAACAGATGAAATTAAATAAGATTTGTTATGAACTCATTAAATATATCACAAATTTAGAAATATCTAATTGAAAAGCATGACAAAATTGAAAAAAAAAAGATATATACTAAAATAAGCTTGTTTTAAGTATTGTTGGATGAATTTTATTTATACAACCGATTGTTTTATCATTCGAGTTTGATTTAGTTTGTAAATGTTACTATCTTGTTACTTGTGTCTTTAATACCTAAATCATTATAATTTTAACAATGTTTTTTAAAGTTTTTCTTCTTAAAAATATTTACGTGTAAGACGAAGAATACGATTTTCTTAAAACTTTTTTTTAGTTAAAATACTTTGAAAATTAAACGTTACAATTATTTAAAGAAATTCAAGAGAGTCCAATTTAAAGAAAACAAGATTTTAGATAATAAAAACAAATTCCAATCCTAAAATCATTATAAACCGAAATGACCAAGTTTCTCACATAGTACAATATTATTAGTAACCCGCGAAAGTTGCTGGAGTATCATTCCATATTTACCCCTATTACTAAACGACGTCAATTTGAGGTGAAGGGTAGTTTCGTCATACCACTTTCAACGGCTACTTTCCGCTATAAAAGGAAACTCATTTTTGTTTTCAAGCATTCAGTTCTTCTCCGTCTCCTACTGCTCCGATTCATTCGTTTCTTTCTCTCTGATCTGAACGCGCTTACTCTGAATCTGCAATTCAATTCAACCACCACCGCCTTCTTCCACCGCTCATCGCCATTCTCATCTCATTTTCATTGATTTTCCATTTCTTTTCATATCGCTCTCCATTTACGTGCTCCTCTGTTTTTTTTGCAGGGTTTCTAACCATGGACACTGGACCGTTGAATTGTTCATCCAAGATGAAGTACAGATCATCCTTTCAGGGCCGTCTCTTCCGCTCTAAGAATTCTCAAGAAAACGTAAACCCTGACCTCTTTATTTCATTTTCTCAAAAAGAAAAACCCTTGACTTGATCAATAATTTTTTGTTCACATTCTCTACGAAACAGTTGGACAGGTTTATTCCCAATCGCTCGGCGATGGATTTCGGCTACGCGCACTACATGCTCACCGAGGGTAACAAGAAGGGCAGGGAGAAAGAGAACGATGCGGTGATGTCACCATCTCGAGAAGCATACCAGAAGCAACTCGCCGAGGCTTTCAACATGAATCGCACTCGAATCTTGGCCTTCAAGAACAAACCTCCAACTCCTGTTGAACTCATTCCCAAGTGCATCCTTTCGCCTCCTCCTCCATCCAATTTCTCTAAGTCCAGGCGTTGCGTTCCTCAGGTATGTTATTTGAATTCAAAATTCTGCGTGTTTACTGATCGGACTCTTGAAAATTGAAATTCTGTCGTAACTGTTTGTGAAAATGGCTATCAGAGTTCTGAGAGAACGTTGGATGCTCCTGATATACTCGATGACTTTTATTTGAACCTACTGGACTGGGGTCGCGGCAATGTTCTTAGTATCGCCCTTGGGAACAGTGTGTATCTATGGAATGCCAATGATAGCTCCACCGCTGAACTTGTCACTCTAGAAGAGGAAGATGGTCCTGTTACAAGTGTAGCCTGGGCTCCCGATGGACGCCATTTAGCCATTGGTTTGAATAATTTTCATGTCCAGCTCTGGGATTCTCATTCTTCTAGGATGGTAAATCTGATTCCTTTTAAGCGTTTTTGTGAAATTTTATTGGAATAGGCTAATTGACATTGCAAAGTTTCTTGTGAAAGATTTTTATGGTGCCGTCTATTCATGGATGGTCAAATAGTTGATAATTGTTTGCTTTTCTACACTAACAACGGCAACCATTGAGAACTGAAGATGGCGTAGATATCATGAATGAATGACACAGTATAAGTCATTATATTTAAATCAAATTATAATTACCTTAAAAAAGTCACATATAACAAGGTCTTTGTATGAAAGTTGTACTTTTTGTGTTCATATTAAATTGAAAACTTCTATGCATTGTGATGTGTTGTGATTTTTATTTGGTGACTGCAGGTAAGAACATTAAGAGGTGGACATCAAGCACGTGTGGGTTCACTATCTTGGAACAATCATATCCTCACAACAGGAGGGATGGATGGTAAAATCGTTAACAATGATGTTAGAGTGAGGTCTCATATTGTTGATTCTTATAGAGGACATCAGCAGGAGGTCTGTGGGCTTAAGTGGTCTCCCTCAGGACAACAATTGGCGAGTGGGGGCAACGATAACGTTGTCCACATATGGGACAGGGCTACTGTCTCTTCAAATTCAGCAAACCGTTGGCTTCATAGATTTGAGGAACATAGAGCTGCTGTGAAGGCATTAGCTTGGTGCCCATTCCAAGCAAATCTGCTAGCTTCAGGTGGAGGTGTGGGCGATCACTGCATTAAGTTCTGGAATACGCATACAGGAGTGTGCTTGAACTCTGTCAACACAAGCTCACAAGTGTGCGCTCTGCTGTGGAACAAGAATGAGCGTGAGTTGCTTAGCTCTCATGGTTTCACCGAGAACCAGCTCACTCTTTGGAAATATCCTTCAATGTTTAGAATGGGAGAGCTCAAGGGTCATACCTCCAGGGTGTTGTATATGACGCAAAGTCCAGATGGGTGTACTGTGGCTTCTGCAGCAGGGGACGAGACTCTGAGATTTTGGAATGTTTTTGGAACTCCACAGCCTTCGAAACCAGCGCCGAAAGCCAATATTGAGCCATTTGCTCATGTGAGTCGTATTCGCTGAAGATGAACGTAGACGTTATATTAATTTTTTTTTAGTTTTTTAATATTATCCTGATCATTCTTTTATTTCTTTGTATATTTATTCTCTTACGCACAAACATGCATGTATTTTTATATAAACTGGCGTTGTTGTTGTCTGTTGCTTAGAAATAAATCATAAATAAATATGTTTGACTGGATTTTTTCATTTTATTCTTGATCTGATCTTTCTTGTTTGTTGTTCTGCTTTTACTGCTGTGTTTTGAGAGCCCCTCTACCAGATTTTGGGGTCGACGAACATCGTTAACAGTGAACATATAGATGCAAAGTAAAGAAAGAAAAAGAAAAAAAAAAGAGAGATACAGAAATATTGAAAAATACGAAAGAATATAAAATAAATTAGAATGTTAATTTCAGTCGGTTTAAATTTAGTATTGTCTAAATTCACCCATCTTAAAATAATATCTCAGAACGGTGGATTAGAAACACTCCTTCTACATAGAAATTGGTAGATTTTAAGATAGAAAAACCCAAAGATAAATTCAGCCACCACACTTTGGGTCCAAAATTAGCAAATTATGAAAGGAACATTCTTCAATTTCACTGATTAAAGTCTTTCCTAACTTGGCATCAGTGCATTGTTAGATTTTCGAGGTTAAAATAGTTGGCCAAAAAAGTTTCTTGTGTTGTGCTGTGGAGATCATCCATTCCTACCTAAAGTACTATCTTTTCCATGTTCCATATATAAGCACCAACAATCAACGATCACTGTATATATCTTTTCTTCGTTATTCTAATCCTTCTTCCCCGTTATCATTTCATTACCTCAACACAAATTATTCTGCCCACCAACCAGTATGCATGTTCATTTCTTGGATGACAGTCACAGATGCGTATGTTTACATCCTAAACTTTGACTGTGAAATAAGAAAGAAAAAAGAAAGATGGAGAAGTCGATGAGATTAGGGTTGATGGCTGTGGTTGCTGTATCTGGAAGCATGGCCATCTTGGTTCAACAGGTCCATAAACGTATGCTATCTAACTTCATGAAGAAATTTGAGTATCAAATGGGTGGTATCTTATACGCACACGGCCAAAAGAATTTGTGTGGTACCATTTCTTTCAATTTTTAACTAGCATTTTCTTTTCCACTTTAGTTCTAAATTCCTTTTATGATGTTTGCAAGGCTCAGAGAAACATGAAGCGAATAAGAAGGTGCGATTTTCAAAGGAAGCATTGGAAGAAAAGAGTTATGGTAGAGGTGATAGAATGATTACAACAAGGGTAGGACGAATCAAGGCTGAACAATTTTGGGAGATGGAGAATGTTGAGAGGGATGAGCCCAAATTAGAGAAGATGATGCCTACTAACAGGAAAGTTCTTTACAGGGGAATTATGAAATATAGGAATAGCACTATTCATGGAAGACTTCCATTCTAGTTTTTTTCTCTCCTAATGTGCATAAACTTACTAACTTTCCTTAACATAAGATTTGTGATGATTGATGAGCTAACTTTAAAATAATTGTTATTCTTGATAGATAGGGATGAAAACGTGGCCGGTCCGTATTGTTTTGGTCCATTTTGTATTTAGTTTGTGAAAAGCGGGTTGGTCTGCCCGTACAAATGTGAGTTAATTTATTTCACTCATTTATTGTTTGGCCCGTGGGTTTGCGGTCAGCCTGCAGTCCGCACAAAAAAATATTTGTTTTGTGATTTTTTTTTTGTAAAATACTAGGATAAAATATTTTAACAAAATTATTTAATTAAGTTAATAGAAATAATAGTTTTTTTTTTACAAATTCGTTTATTAAATATAAGTAATATTTATAACTTTTTTAACTTCTAATTTTATGTACAAGTCTACTGAAAAAGTAAATGACTTTAAATTAGAAAGAAAATGAATGAAATACCACTCTTGATTAACTTGACGAAAATGAACAAGTTCATTTTGAATAGATTAGAGAAATAATGTAAATGAGCAAGTTAGATTAAAATATTGTGCTGGTGTTGTTGGATTTTAAAAATTAAAGTAAATGTAAACTATTAGTATTAGGTTAATATATTGTTATCCAACATGAACTATAGATTATATGAGTGAATCTATAAAGGTCAATAAATTAACATACAAATGCATCGGTTGCATCATAACAAATAATAAATTTTATTATCTTTTAAGATATTTGTACAACACGACAACTCTTCCTTTCATAATTTAATTAGACATTAAAGTACATAAAAACACAAAAAACTATTTCAGGTATTTTTATCAAATAGTTGGTGTCCAAGGAATTTAAGATAGAGTATTATAATTTGTTAAGACTAGAATTCATTCACTTCATTCTTATGCATTCACAAACATCTCAATTTCATCCATTAAGTGTTCAATTTTAGTTATAAATTCAAGTCATATTTTCCAATACATTAAGAATAAAAAATCCATGCATGGGTGGTAATCCAAAGCAAGCATTAAGTATAGAAATTGAATACTAAAATGAATTGGAAAGACATATATCATTAACATCACAAAATACATGAGAATTCTATGTTTTACAACTAATCTCAAAAAAATAGGAAAAACCCTCCATGATGGAGAATTGAAGGTTCTACAAAACTGAAGAGATATGGAAGAAATTGAACCATGCAGAGATGTGCAACCTTTCCCAAGGTTCTTTGCAGCTACTTCATGCTCCAATTGCGCTTTCTCTTCGCATTTCCATCTCCAATTCGTGACTCATCCTCTTCCTCAACCCAAAAGGGGCAAAATCACCATTGATGAAGATTGAAGCTCAAAGAGGAGAGTTTCCCAGCACCCCAAACAACCTCTCTCAGTCGCTTTAGGTGAAGAATGAAGAGTAGGAGGAGAAGAATTATAAAAACCTTCGCGAAAACATGACTAAATACTCATTTTATGCGTTTATGGACTTACAGACTCGCCCAAGCGAGCTGGTCAACTTGCTAGCAAAAAGTCAACTTGCTAGCAAAAAGTCAACTTGCCTAAGACAGTGAACAGTGACGGTTAACGCGTGAATAGTGCTAAGTGAATAGCGAACAATGAATATTGAACAATGTCATTTAAATAATTTTGTTTGTTCATTGTATTCGCAACATTGAATGTGACTCTTGTGGCATATTCAGTTAAAATCCATCTTTTTGTCCAATCATGTTTCATTGAGTTCTAATTTGTTTTCATCCACCAGAATCTTTCCTATTTTCTTATTTCACACTCAAAGAGATATTAGAGGTAAAACAAACATATATTAACTAAAACACAAGAAAACATGAAAACACATTATTAAACTTGAGAATAAAAATTATAAAGGAGTTGATTTATTCACTAAAATATACATATAAAAACATGTAAAATCACTGGTTATCCATACTTTATCTCACATTTTTTTTCTAATAAACATATAAGTCAATGTTTGTTCCATATTTTCATTGATAGATAAATAGAAGCAATTTATAGATTAAATGAAAATTAGGTAGTAAAATAGGAATAAGTTACTCGTTTGCAATGTATTGCTTACCATTCTCCAGATAAAATGATACTATTTGATTGATAGGGTATTTATTTTCATAAGGTCTTATAAAAGGCTCCATAATAACTTCTAAAAGGATATGTTTGTATGGTTTCTTTAGGTGCTTTATATCTATGTATAAAAGTGTGTGTATATTTGATTTTGAATTGCATGGTTATCTTCTTTTCGGACCTAACTATCCTATATTTATTCATAACCTGAAAGAAAGAGTACCATCTAATTTGTAGACTAAATTTTCTTATCATACATAGGTAATAGTTGGTGGAATATCATAATATTTTAGTTTTATATGTAGAGTCTTATTTTATATACTGCATTTAATAATTTTTCATTTTCTACTATTATTTAATATATGTTTTCTCTTCTATACATATTTTCTTGTTGTTGTGAACCTAACAAATATGTTGAACAACTTCTCATTTTTTTTCACAATATAAGATTTTAATATACATTTGAACCCCAGCATCATTAACATGTAAAGAGTGAGGGATCAATACAAAAAAAATAAAGAAATTATGCAGTACGATAGCATTGGAACAAAAATATTCTAATACTATGAATATTTAGTCGATCATCAGCTAAATTATGAAGGGGATCTACGATTTAATCCATAACAAAATTTATTGTGATATTGTATGATTGTTTATATTTTTGTAAAAGATCTCAACATATTTATTATTTATGGAGTGGTGTCCACGTCTTTATATTTTAATTCTAATTTGAAGACATATAAATGTTTTCACTATTTTTATCATTTGAATGTTAGATATTTCGCTTTCAATCAGAAAAAAAGAATGACATTATACTAATTGAATTGTATGAATATGAACAAAAATATAAATAAGAGAACTAAGAAAATATAGGAAATAAATAAGAAACTTATAGGGGTATTAAATAAATAAATAGAAAAACTGTTATCTTGCACTGTTTATAAAAATTAGATTTTTTTAGCAGTACTCCATCTGCCGAATGAAACAGAAAAAAAAACTTAGATTAAATAAATTTTTAAATTTTCTTTATGGAAATTGATACCACAGCAAAAATTCGGTGTTTCTGGCACTGTGGTTTTAGTAAATATATAAACTTCATTTTGTCGATATTTTTATTTTATTTTTATCTTATAAAAGGTATCATTCTAGAAGACATTATATATGAAAAAAGGGAAAAAAATACAAAGAGACCAGTTCAAAACCCATGTAATATTTAAATAAAACAAATCTAATTAAAAAAATAAAAAAAAGAGTCTCTGACTAGTATAGGGAGAAAGCAACTCAAACCAAATAATTATTTTTTCCTTTAATATGTGACAATCTCCAATAAATTGTTTTGAATCGAGAGAGTGTGAAACAATGGAAAAGAAAATAAGTTCACTGACATTGAAACAAACATATTATATGCTATTTTGTGTGTCTGATTTTCTATGTTTGATGTAATGATTCAAAACAACAAGTGTTGCTCTTATATTGCTCAACATCACAAGAACACAAAAATCAGTGACACATAACATCATGGGAAGATCCAAATTACTGCATTGCTAACGTTTTTTTAGTGCAAGAAATCCGTCTTTTTCTTTTCCACTTTTACGGCGTTTTCAATGCTTCGCAGTGTACTTGTATTTACTGTTTTGTTTTGTTTTATATTTAAAGACGGTTGGATAATCCATATTATAGATTAAGATGTGTATTATGAATAAAATAAATAAATGCATTTATTAAAAACTATAATTTTTTAAAATTGAAAAAGTATTTCTAAAAGTATAATATAATTAAAATTTATCTTTATTTTTTAAAATTTGGGTTTGGTGTTTAAAATAAATACAATAATTTCTCATTTTTTTCTGAACATTTTAATATTTGAAATACTATATTCAAACGTACAATTTTTTTTTCAAAACCGCTTTTAGTTTTATACCGTAAATTTCAAGAAATGGAACTGACAAAATTGCAATCAATCCAAAGTTTATGAATTGACCGTTAAATCTGTTATTATCTTAATATTTCAAAATTACAATCAAGGTGTAAATATAGATGTGGTAATTCGTTTCACACTCAAGCAATAATGTTATAATTACCCTTTAAACTAAAAACTTAACTTTAATTTTTCTTTTTGCAACAGAAAAAGTAATCGCATCATTATAATAGTGCCCAGTCAATTGAAATTCCTCTCATGACAATTAATATTAAATTCATTATCTTTGATTTCACTACACTTAATTATTTCTATATTCATAAAGTAGCATTTTGATTAGTGAAAAATTCGTTATAATAGATGACAAATATAATAGTTTTTAGTTTAATAATATAAACATAAAAGTTAATATTAGAGTACGATGACGGTTGGAATTAGAATAGTCAATAACATTTTTTATTTAATCAATTAATAAATCTTAATTATACCTCATCCTATCAAATATCACAGCTTTAACTCCCGTCTACTTTATCTAAAAGGATTTGAACCTCTACATCACTAACAAAATAGTCAAAGTATTACTAGAATATTGTAAGCGAAAATTAATTATAGATATATGCCAAAATTGTACATATATTTGTTATTACTAAGTAAGTTATTTAAATTATATAATGAATATAATAAGTTAACAATCACTCAATAATCTCAATATATAAATTAATAAATATATATCAATACTAATGATATTAAATATTAATATATAATTAATTTATGACGATAGTTTGTTAACTTATGTCAATAAACTGATTGATCCTTTCACATACCAAAAGAAAAATGGTCATTGATACTTCAATAACTTATAATTTTATATGGTCCTTCCATTTTTGACACTTAAGATTTTAACACAATAATCAATATTTTAAGATGAAAATAAAAATAAAAGAAAAATCAGAGAAGGATGAACTATAGATAGATTGGATAAGTAGATTTAAGGGTATGATTCGATGTAGATTATGGAAGTTAAACAGGGGGGAAACAGCATAAAACAGAAAAGATATTTGAATTTTTGAAACTTCTGTTTATTATAATCTTAAAATGAAGAGTTAAAACGGAAGTGGAGTTGGATGAAACGGTGAGTTCTGTTAAGAAAACGAACTGCGGTGGCGAAGGAGGCGCGTGGGTGAGGTGGAAAGGAAAATGACGTTATTTGTTAGAGAGACTCCACCTCTACCTCTTCTTTTAGGCTTTCACTCCTTCACGTAACACTTAAATATTAACAAAAAGCCCTTTTCAATTTCCAAAATCTATGTCACTCCTTGTAATGCTCCTCACATCACACCCAAATTCTACTCACCCCGTACCAAACCCAACCCCGTTCTCATTCTTATTCTTTCCCTTATTTCTAGGACTACACACCCGTTCCAACTCAACACCACCCTTAACACCACTTCAAAACGACCCTACTACCCTAAAACCTCTTCAAGTACTCGCGCTTTTTTCAATCTTCATCCATTCTTCCCACACTCTTCAAGATTCCACAACAACCTCTCACGGGGTTCCCATTCTTGCGTAAAGTCTCGATCTTTCGCCCATGTCGAACAGGGTCATGCACCGGCCGTCGAACCGGCACCAGCCCCTGTTGCAGCGGCAGCCGTCAAAGCTGGCGACTCGAGTGGGGGAGGTGGTCGGGGGCACGGCGGCGGAGTGCGTTGCGGTGTGCTGCTGCGTCCCCTGCGGCGTGGCGAATTTCCTGGTGCTCGCAATCTACAAGGTGCCGGCGGCCTTGTGCCGGCGAATGCTGAAGGAAAGGCGGCACCGGAAGATTGCCAAGGAGGGGTTGCTGAGACCCACGCGCCGCCACTGCTCGTGCGGGTGCTGCGAGGACGTTACCGGTGCGCGGATATTCCCCATGTGCGCCAACGACGCGTTTGACATCGAACACCTCCACTCGTCGGAGCCCGACAGTGACGACGACACACTCGCTCTGGAGAAAGAGATGTGGGACCAGTTTTACAACACCGGCTTTTGGAGAAGCTCTTCTAACAGAGAACGGAGAGAACCCTCACAAACGCAAACGCAAACGCAAACGCAAACGCAAACGCAAACGCAAACGCAAACGCAAACGCAAACGCTCTCTTCCAATGTCGTTCCCCAACCGAACATCTTTTCTTGAACCCTCCCTTTACAATACAAGTACATACACAATTTGTATGCTCAGTTTTTTTCATTTACGTTAATGACAATGCAACTCTTCTCTTGCGATAGTTATCTAGTTTTTTCGAGACTTTTTTTTTATGTGTGTGTCGCGTTTCAGGTCGTGTGAAATTCTGTGGCAGGTTTCGTTTGTGCAAAGTATTGTCAAGTTTCAGATGATGGTGCGCAAGATTTTGTGGTGCCAGTCGGTAATTTTTGGTTGAAATTCCTGATGGAAGTTGTGGGCAATTGAAATTTGTTTGTTGTAGTGTTGTTTAGAGAAGCAGAAGAAAATGGGTGAATAGGAGAGAGTAAATGATATAATTGATGTGGGGCATATGAAGTATTTGATTTTACAGTTATAGGTGTATGTATGCATGGAAGAAGGTAAGAAGAGAAAGAAATAATAGAAAGGATGGAAAGTGCAGGTGGTTCAGAAGCAGGGGGTCCGGGCGTGGTAAAGAAGGACGTTATGCCATTTGTCTCCCTTTTAACTTGTCTCCACACATGGATACCACGTTTTCTTTGTTCTTCCTAATTACTCTGACACATTATTATTTTTGAGCGTACTCTCAGATAAGAATAAAGCAACTATACAAACATAGCTCCATCACACTTCTTTCTGGAAATCATTCACAGATTCTTTCCATCCATCTGTACTTCGCTTCCACATTTATTATTCACTCTCTCTAACCTATTTATTTTTTCAAATCTTTTTTATTCTAAAACATTACTATTAGATAATGCTATTTATGCATCTTTTTCTTATCTTTCTCTTATACACAAAGATGCAAAACTGTATATCTTTGTGTGAACAACAAATGTGGCAGCTTTTACAACCATTTTTTTTTCAGTCCGAAAGGGAGTTTAAATACAATAAAATCATTTTAGCTCTCGGTTTCGTATTTTTAAAGTAATATTTTAGCTCATGAAAGTAATTAAATAAATAATCAAAATTTAAAAACTGTAGGGAAAGTCGTACCTTGAAGGAAATGGTATATATTTACTTGACCGTATTTGGGTAACAATAATTATTTCTGTGAAATAAATTCAACAGAGTATGAACTTAATTAGTTTGTATTTTGAATGGACTGGGAGTTTTTGCCGTGTCAATTTATGAATGGATAGTTTACAAGTGCTGATNGCTTTAGGTGAAGAATGAAGAGTAGGAGGAGAAGAATTATAAAAACCTTCGCGAAAACATGACTAAATACTCATTTTATGCGTTTATGGACTTACAGACTCGCCCAAGCGAGCTGGTCAACTTGCTAGCAAAAAGTCAACTTGCTAGCAAAAAGTCAACTTGCCTAAGACAGTGAACAGTGACGGTTAACGCGTGAATAGTGCTAAGTGAATAGCGAACAATGAATATTGAACAATGTCATTTAAATAATTTTGTTTGTTCATTGTATTCGCAACATTGAATGTGACTCTTGTGGCATATTCAGTTAAAATCCATCTTTTTGTCCAATCATGTTTCATTGAGTTCTAATTTGTTTTCATCCACCAGAATCTTTCCTATTTTCTTATTTCACACTCAAAGAGATATTAGAGGTAAAACAAACATATATTAACTAAAACACAAGAAAACATGAAAACACATTATTAAACTTGAGAATAAAAATTATAAAGGAGTTGATTTATTCACTAAAATATACATATAAAAACATGTAAAATCACTGGTTATCCATACTTTATCTCACATTTTTTTTCTAATAAACATATAAGTCAATGTTTGTTCCATATTTTCATTGATAGATAAATAGAAGCAATTTATAGATTAAATGAAAATTAGGTAGTAAAATAGGAATAAGTTACTCGTTTGCAATGTATTGCTTACCATTCTCCAGATAAAATGATACTATTTGATTGATAGGGTATTTATTTTCATAAGGTCTTATAAAAGGCTCCATAATAACTTCTAAAAGGATATGTTTGTATGGTTTCTTTAGGTGCTTTATATCTATGTATAAAAGTGTGTGTATATTTGATTTTGAATTGCATGGTTATCTTCTTTTCGGACCTAACTATCCTATATTTATTCATAACCTGAAAGAAAGAGTACCATCTAATTTGTAGACTAAATTTTCTTATCATACATAGGTAATAGTTGGTGGAATATCATAATATTTTAGTTTTATATGTAGAGTCTTATTTTATATACTGCATTTAATAATTTTTCATTTTCTACTATTATTTAATATATGTTTTCTCTTCTATACATATTTTCTTGTTGTTGTGAACCTAACAAATATGTTGAACAACTTCTCATTTTTTTTCACAATATAAGATTTTAATATACATTTGAACCCCAGCATCATTAACATGTAAAGAGTGAGGGATCAATACAAAAAAAATAAAGAAATTATGCAGTACGATAGCATTGGAACAAAAATATTCTAATACTATGAATATTTAGTCGATCATCAGCTAAATTATGAAGGGGATCTACGATTTAATCCATAACAAAATTTATTGTGATATTGTATGATTGTTTATATTTTTGTAAAAGATCTCAACATATTTATTATTTATGGAGTGGTGTCCACGTCTTTATATTTTAATTCTAATTTGAAGACATATAAATGTTTTCACTATTTTTATCATTTGAATGTTAGATATTTCGCTTTCAATCAGAAAAAAAGAATGACATTATACTAATTGAATTGTATGAATATGAACAAAAATATAAATAAGAGAACTAAGAAAATATAGGAAATAAATAAGAAACTTATAGGGGTATTAAATAAATAAATAGAAAAACTGTTATCTTGCACTGTTTATAAAAATTAGATTTTTTTAGCAGTACTCCATCTGCCGAATGAAACAGAAAAAAAAACTTAGATTAAATAAATTTTTAAATTTTCTTTATGGAAATTGATACCACAGCAAAAATTCGGTGTTTCTGGCACTGTGGTTTTAGTAAATATATAAACTTCATTTTGTCGATATTTTTATTTTATTTTTATCTTATAAAAGGTATCATTCTAGAAGACATTATATATGAAAAAAGGGAAAAAAATACAAAGAGACCAGTTCAAAACCCATGTAATATTTAAATAAAACAAATCTAATTAAAAAAATAAAAAAAAGAGTCTCTGACTAGTATAGGGAGAAAGCAACTCAAACCAAATAATTATTTTTTCCTTTAATATGTGACAATCTCCAATAAATTGTTTTGAATCGAGAGAGTGTGAAACAATGGAAAAGAAAATAAGTTCACTGACATTGAAACAAACATATTATATGCTATTTTGTGTGTCTGATTTTCTATGTTTGATGTAATGATTCAAAACAACAAGTGTTGCTCTTATATTGCTCAACATCACAAGAACACAAAAATCAGTGACACATAACATCATGGGAAGATCCAAATTACTGCATTGCTAACGTTTTTTTAGTGCAAGAAATCCGTCTTTTTCTTTTCCACTTTTACGGCGTTTTCAATGCTTCGCAGTGTACTTGTATTTACTGTTTTGTTTTGTTTTATATTTAAAGACGGTTGGATAATCCATATTATAGATTAAGATGTGTATTATGAATAAAATAAATAAATGCATTTATTAAAAACTATAATTTTTTAAAATTGAAAAAGTATTTCTAAAAGTATAATATAATTAAAATTTATCTTTATTTTTTAAAATTTGGGTTTGGTGTTTAAAATAAATACAATAATTTCTCGATTTTTTTCTGAACATTTTAATATTTGAAATACTATATTCAAACGTACAATTTTTTTTTCAAAACCGCTTTTAGTTTTATACCGTAAATTTCAAGAAATGGAACTGACAAAATTGCAATCAATCCAAAGTTTATGAATTGACCGTTAAATCTGTTATTATCTTAATATTTCAAAATTACAATCAAGGTGTAAATATAGATGTGGTAATTCGTTTCACACTCAAGCAATAATGTTATAATTACCCTTTAAACTAAAAACTTAACTTTAATTTTTCTTTTTGCAACAGAAAAAGTAATCGCATCATTATAATAGTGCCCAGTCAATTGAAATTCCTCTCATGACAATTAATATTAAATTCATTATCTTTGATTTCACTACACTTAATTATTTCTATATTCATAAAGTAGCATTTTGATTAGTGAAAAATTCGTTATAATAGATGACAAATATAATAGTTTTTAGTTTAATAATATAAACATAAAAGTTAATATTAGAGTACGATGACGGTTGGAATTAGAATAGTCAATAACATTTTTTATTTAATCAATTAATAAATCTTAATTATACCTCATCCTATCAAATATCACAGCTTTAACTCCCGTCTACTTTATCTAAAAGGATTTGAACCTCTACATCACTAACAAAATAGTCAAAGTATTACTCGAATATTGTAAGCGAAAATTAATTATAGATATATGCCAAAATTGTACATATATTTGTTATTACTAAGTAAGTTATTTAAATTATATAATGAATATAATAAGTTAACAATCACTCAATAATCTCAATATATAAATTAATAAATATATATCAATACTAATGATATTAAATATTAATATATAATTAATTTATGACGATAGTTTGTTAACTTATGTCAATAAACTGATTGATCCTTTCACATACCAAAAGAAAAATGGTCATTGATACTTCAATAACTTATAATTTTATATGGTCCTTCCATTTTTGACACTTAAGATTTTAACACAATAATCAATATTTTAAGATGAAAATAAAAATAAAAGAAAAATCAGAGAAGGATGAACTATAGATAGATTGGATAAGTAGATTTAAGGGTATGATTCGATGTAGATTATGGAAGTTAAACAGGGGGGAAACAGCATAAAACAGAAAAGATATTTGAATTTTTGAAACTTCTGTTTATTATAATCTTAAAATGAAGAGTTAAAACGGAAGTGGAGTTGGATGAAACGGTGAGTTCTGTTAAGAAAACGAACTGCGGTGGCGAAGGAGGCGCGTGGGTGAGGTGGAAAGGAAAATGACGTTATTTGTTAGAGAGACTCCACCTCTACCTCTTCTTTTAGGCTTTCACTCCTTCACGTAACACTTAAATATTAACAAAAAGCCCTTTTCAATTTCCAAAATCTATGTCACTCCTTGTAATGCTCCTCACATCACACCCAAATTCTACTCACCCCGTACCAAACCCAACCCCGTTCTCATTCTTATTCTTTCCCTTATTTCTAGGACTACACACCCGTTCCAACTCAACACCACCCTTAACACCACTTCAAAACGACCCTACTACCCTAAAACCTCTTCAAGTACTCGCGCTTTTTTCAATCTTCATCCATTCTTCCCACACTCTTCAAGATTCCACAACAACCTCTCACGGGGTTCCCATTCTTGCGTAAAGTCTCGATCTTTCGCCCATGTCGAACAGGGTCATGCACCGGCCGTCGAACCGGCACCAGCCCCTGTTGCAGCGGCAGCCGTCAAAGCTGGCGACTCGAGTGGGGGAGGTGGTCGGGGGCACGGCGGCGGAGTGCGTTGCGGTGTGCTGCTGCGTCCCCTGCGGCGTGGCGAATTTCCTGGTGCTCGCAATCTACAAGGTGCCGGCGGCCTTGTGCCGGCGAATGCTGAAGGAAAGGCGGCACCGGAAGATTGCCAAGGAGGGGTTGCTGAGACCCACGCGCCGCCACTGCTCGTGCGGGTGCTGCGAGGACG